AATCATTTTAAAATTTTAAATTGACCCGTTCTAGCTATGCTTTTTTTTTTTTTTTTTTTTGCAAACAAGCGCCCACAATGTATGGGAGTTAACTAGGGATAGTAAAAAGGCAAAATGCCATGAAATGTTGGTTAAATGCATATTAAAACATTGCTACTACATTCGTAATAAATTTTGGCCACTTTTACTTTTGGCCAATTTTACAGATGGCCACGAGAATTTGAAGCCTTTGTTTACTATTTTCACACACACACACACACACACACACACACACACACACACACACACACACACATATATATATATATATATGTGTGTGTGTGTGTATAAAATTAAATTTTAAAATCCTGCAATACAAAACGGCTCTAATACAGATATAGGTAAAAGAAACAAGATCCTAGGTGGACAGACACTAAGTCTGGACTTTGATAAGCTAGGGTACGTAAGCTGATTTATGATACCCACTTATCCTTTGAGATCCCATAGCATTTCTCCATGCACAGTTGTCTTTTTTCATTCATTTAAACTGAAGAAACCACAGAGAACACGTGCTTGTCCGGCGAAACACCTCAATTTTCCATTTTGTCAAATCATCTTCATTTTTTGTTTCGGATATTGATATATATATATATATATATATATATATATATATATATATATATATATATATATATATATATATTATGAAATGGACAAAGTCCGACAATTATTTTAAGACATTTTTATGTTTATACATTCTTTTTTATAGATACAAATATTCGTTCGGTTAGCAAGGTCGAATTTACTGTATCGGTAAAGGCACGTAAAGCTAAATGACGGTTCCGTATAGAATACAGGTTCGAATCCTGTCGGAGCATTCAGGCCGATAAATGTTGTTTAATACTGTTTATTATAAACAGAACATTTACTTTTTTTTTTTTTTTATATCTATAAAAAGAATGTATAAACATAAAATATATTATATAATATATATATATATATATATATATATATATATATATATATATATATATATATATATATATATATATATATATATACTCGTGTGTGTGATTTTATTGTTTAAATATGCTATATTTATGGAGGAAGAATACTTAATATATGGTCGTTGTCGGTTTGAAGCCTCTAGCAATCACCAGACCATGGAGGTGTAAAGATCTCTAACCCGCTTGATTATCTGAAATTCCTTGTCGCCAATATTATACGAAGTCTGGTCAAAAAGTATCGGAACTGGTGCTATGAAAAGAAAACTACAACACATATCAATTCAGTATTTAACCTCCTTCGAAGTAGTCCCCTTCTGAAGTCAGACACTTTATCCAGCCAGAGTCGTTTCCATTGATGGAAACATTTCTGGAACTCCTTTTTTGGGATTGCGAGCATCTGCCTCATCACATTCTCTTGGATTCCCTCGACATCTTGAAATATTGTTCCTTCCAAGTGGGATTTGATTTTTGGAAAGCGGAAAAAGTGGCAAGGGGTGAAATCTGGGGAATATAGTGGTTGTCCGACCAGGGGAATGCTGTGTTTGGCCAAAAACTGCTTCACAAGATATGGGCACTGATAGAACCTCTGTGCTGTGGCGAGACAAGCACCGAACGCTTAGGACCAACTTAATAAAAAAAAAAATATCTGCATGCTGGATAGTTTTTGTCTTCATTTTCACCAGAAAACAAACATTTGAACATTAGAACGTCTCATGATCAGACATAGACATTCATTGTCTGTTATATTTAATAATATGCGCTTAAATAATGATCCGCCTACCTAATACACTATATATATATATATATATATATATATATATATATATATATATATATATATATATATATATAAGTGCGTAGGTATGCAGAAATAGAAAAGAACACGTTGGGTGCATAATCCGGGGATCCTTAGTATTTTTGTTTTTTATTTTAAGAAGACAGTGCTCCATACAGAAGTAGAGCTTATATTATAATAATATTTTTGTTTAAAAATAGGATTCCTTCGCTACATAAGAGTTCTCATGTTTCAAAAACGAGAGCCGAAATATCCAATTAATTCTTATCAATATGATGAATCTATTGATAAGAATTAACTCTCTGACCACTTAACGAAGGAAAATAGTCTAGCCACTCCCACAATAACGAATTCTGTAACAGACCGGGCCTAAAAATACACGTAAACCGACAGATAGCTTATTCCTAAAATTTCGCTTGAAGATGAAACGGGACTAAACACCACAATCTAACTTAATTTTAATAATTATTTGGATATTTCGGCTCTCGTTTTTGAAACATGAGAACTCTTATGTAGCGAAGGAATCATATTTTTAAAAAAAAATATTATTATAATATATTTTATATATATATATATATATATATATATATATATTATAATAGACAAAAAAACAGAAATTATAATAAATAATTATCGCTCTACTATCGGTATTAATGCTGTGAACGTTAGAATTTATATATTACTTTCGTTCTCATTGCATATATATATATATATATATATATATATATATATATATATTAAAATAAAGAGAATATATATATATATATATATTAAAATAAAGAGAATATATATATATATATATATATATATTAAAATAAAGAGAAAGAATATTAAGATTTATAAACCGGTGTTTTTATTGTTTTTATTTAAAAATAACAGTGCTCAATACAATTCTGCAGATCATAAATATTATAAATTTAATTAATTTTAAAGAAGCTGCTCAAGTGGGACTTACTTCTCGCTGATGGAAAAGGGGGTGGGGATGTGGATGGTTTGCGACAATATAAGTGGCATGGTGGGTCCTAGCCTTGAAGGTTACACCTGGCGGAACTAAGGAATGTAGTTCGTTCGAGCACTTTCCATGGAAGTAGTTATAGAGCAATGAGAGACTAACTACGTCCCGCCTGTGATAGAGAGTTTGACAAGGACTATATATATATATATATATATATATATATATAAACCATACCACGGTTGACCCAAGCCTTGTAAGTGAAATTGGGTAGATGGAACACTTGGTGCTGTCGATTGCGGTGCTAGCACGAAGTCACAAGTCATCGTGACCGAGGGTTGAATGTACTGTTGTTCCCATTGTTGATCATCCTAGATAACACACTCTCTCCCAGAAACTGTAACTAAGGTCTGCTCAGCATAGTTGCAGTATAAACCACAGGTGGGATCTGTGGGTGTTGAACAAACACAAATGTGTCTGAGCGAGAGTCTGTAATAGGGATTGGCTAGCCGCCCTAGTAGACGGGTATCCTCGAATACAAGTGGCCAGCTATTATATATATATATATATATATATATATATAGATAAATAGGTATACGTGTGTGTGTGTGTGTGTGTGTGTGTGTGTGTGTGTGTGTGTGTGTGTGTGTGTGTGTGTGTGTATTTGAATTTAGGCAGTTAGTTATTATTTATGCACGCTTGATTAAAAGCCAAATGAAAATTCCATGGTGATTTTCCTTTTTATTTTATTTTTTTTCAATATTTATAATAATTTGATTTCCGGTTTGTAAATATATCTGACCATGCCTAAGCACTTTCGGCTAATAGTAGACATTTCCAAAGACTGTTTGTTTTCTCGTTAGTTTAATTTCTTTTTGATATATCGTGTTTCGCGTGTTGGCTTTTATTACGTCTCGCGTATTCACGTGGGACTTCACGCCTTCAACTTTTTATTTTTTTCATAAAAGGTCTTTTAATTATCATATACGAACAAATATATACGCATATATCTGCTTATGTACGAGGTATATCTAGAAATAGACAGCTATTTAACTTTAATAAAGAGTCACTATTCTTGTAATCAGGGCTGGTACAAGTGTCTTGTGCCGCCAATCTGTGATACAACCTCCCCCAAATTTATGATACGAACCCCCAATTCTACTTCATTTCCATTTTCATAAGGTAGCATTTATATAAAATACAAATTTTATTGTTATCTAATTATGTAGAATAATAGATCACATACAATATAGGTAAACAATTCAACTAGAAAAATTGAAAATAAATGCAATGTATCTTAATACAAATCAGAGACATACCACAATAGGTCATTTCGTCGGAAATGAATCAACAATGTTTTGCGGTAATTTTTAACGTCAACTTGAGATTTTCCTTGTTAAAAAAATGAAGAATTTTAACACATTCAACATTATGAATAAAAAAAATGGTGAATTTTATATAGTGTTTTTTTTTAAACATGTTCAAATTCACGAACAAATTTGAACAAATTTGAACAAAAACAAACAAAAAAAAAGACCCCAGAATTATGTCAAAATCCGCGAATTTTTTTTTTCGTTTAATAGTCATTTGTGCTTATTTTAATTTGTATATATATATATATATATATATATATATATATATATATATATATATATATATGTGTGTGTGTGTGTGTGTGTGTGTGTGTGTGTGTGTGTGTGTGTGTGTTTGTTATTTATATATATATATATATATATAGAGAGAGAGAGAGAAAGAAAGAAAGAGAGAGAGATGGGGTGTATCAAAATACTTTTACAACTTTTGGAGGCGTGTTACTGGCACCAAAACAAGGACAAAAGTGCCTATCGACTTCCTTAGGTCTGGAAACGTAATGTGATGCAGTCTCGCGTCCATTACCATTCGCTTGGTTGTATGTAAAAATCATATCTGCCTACTCACGATATGAATATACAGCCATTTTTAAATGGAATACTTCAGAGTTAACTCACTACTACACACGTTCAACGTTGAAGACAGACCAGCCACAAATGTACACGAATGATAAATGTAACTCAGTCTACCAGGCAACACAGCACCATCTACCGTAAAATTTCTTTAAACTTAACTCAAAAACGAAGGATTTGCGGACATAACGTTTATATAGACTTATTTTGGTGTGAGGAGCACGTCCTCAAAGTTTGTAAAAGTATTTTTGATACACAATGTTTGGTTTGGTTTGGCTTGATTTACGGTATATCAATCTCAATGGGTTATTTAATGCCACAAGATTTTTTATTTCTGGTAATATTTTTATCTATCTATCTATCTATCTATCTATCTATCTATCTATCTATCTATCTATTAGCTTGGTTTGGTTTGTTTCACGGCATATCAACCTCAATGAGGATATGGTACATAGAAGAAGAAATATACAATTTAACATGATTTTCACTGTCTAATCAATGTATTTAAATTTCATTGTTTTTTTTTTATTAAGACACTTAAAAAGAAACAAAAAACATGACTGCACATTAGAGCAGGTCAGTTTTAGAAACCTGGTATTGCACTCAATTTCAAATTTGGGGTTTGCAATAATAAATAAAGATACAAAATATCCTTTTCCAAATTTTTACCGTTTTTTGAGGAAACGAATTTAAAATTAAGTTGTGATTCAAAATCGTAGCCTGGGTATTTCATTCCGGTGATCAATGAAATCCTTATTAGCACAGCCTTAACTAATTTTTAATTTACTGAATATTTACAAATTGTATATTGACAAGATGCAAGGCACAAGCACATTGTTACTAAATCATCAAATAAGATCATTTATTTCAAATGGAAATTATACTGAACAATTTAGCTATATTATGATGTAATATGTTATACAGTGGAGTATTTTCAATTGGTTATTTAATGCCGACAACATTTTTATAGCTGCTAATATGTTTTTCTTTAAAAATCTATTTCTGGGAATATTTTTCCTTGAAGGAATCTATAGCTGGTCATATTTTTTTTTCAAAGAATATATAGATGTTTGTATTGCTAGTACTTTTTTTTTAAAAGTATTGCTGATAATACTTTTTCCTTCAAAAATTATTGCTGGAAATATTTTTCTTATTACAAAGTATTTCTGGTATTAAAACCTATTTTTACACAAGTTTGGCATTAACTATTTGCCCATAGCTGGGACCCTAACATGTGCTACAAGCCCGAGTCAGGTTGAACCTGGGAACGCTAGCAATTAAGAGGTGGTTACACGCTCATCAAAACCTGATCAGAGGCCTTGCTGTTGGACGTAGTTATTCGTCTTACCCAGGGCGCGGATGTAGTTTATCTTCATACCCAGGACGGTTGATACACCTTGTACACATATATATATATATATATATATATATATATATATATATGCAAATGTAAAAGAATGAAGAATAAAATTGCAACGTTCAAAACATTAATTTAAAACAGGGATCAGTACAAGACTTTTCTTTCCTTTCCTTTTTACTTTTATTGATTTCTTATTTTATTTTATTTTCCTTTGTAAAATCCTTTTTACATTGTACGGAAAATTTTTCCAAAAACGGAAAATGAAGTGATGTTTCATAAATTGCAATTTTAAACAAAATCGTTTATTAGCATCACTGTTAACCACCTGAAGAGACGTTGTTTATTCAATGTCGAAACAAAATGTAAAATTTTGTAGCAGTAACTTACATGTTCTAATGCTACAGTATATAAATACACACACACACACACACACACACACACACACACACACACATATATATATATATATATATATATGAGTTTTAATGATTAAAAACGTAGGTCTTTCCTACATGCAACTGCAGAATTATCTGTAAAGATAAAAGCCGAGATTACTTATGTTAAAGGTATAATTAATGTCGCTTCATTTTTCTTTTTTTGACGCTAGAGTTAAACTACAAAGTGGCGATAACCAGTTTTCGGTGCGACTAAGAAGACATAATAAAGAAGATTTTGATATTTGGCCAACTGAACTAAGAATTTTTCAGCTGCCACTCGTAAGGAATATTATATATAATATATTTGTACATATCAAAACCATGCTCGTGGTTAAGAGGCACATTTACTATTTAATGAGCGCGCATAGATTGATTGATTTATTTACACGGCTCATCGACCCTTTGCTGGTTATTAGTTGGAGTAGATAGGTTCGTCTATCGTCCGGGTGACACGCTTCTCCGGTCTTTTATAGTGGATTAAAGGGTTATTCCTTCTTCCCTGTTTAGGATCGGTTTCCCGGCTTTTTTTTTAAAATCTTTTCAGTCTCTTTCAATCCTAGCAACCCACTTGCGTCATAGTGGCATTATCGCCTTGCTTGGGTGGAATTGATTAAAAAACATTTTTTTTTTTAGCCGAAGTATACTTCAGATTGTAGAAGTGTTCCCAAGAGGTCCCCCATTTAAATACTGACCGGGTTCGAGGTGGCTTAACTTCGGTGATCGAACGAGAATCGGGTGCACACCTGGAACAAAATAAAAACTGTTTTTTTTTTAGATTCAGCTGAACAAAAGTACTTCACTCACGACTGTTGAATAATTAACTCAGATGCAATGATTACAATAAACTTGCTCCTTTTTTAGGAACGTTGGGGAAAAAGATTGATCACCAGCCAATTATATTTTAAAATACATTTTAGAAAATGCCTAACATCGACCTTAACTGATGAAGGTAGGAATGTTAGGGTTGGTGGTGTGTTGTTTTTTTTAATGGATTAAAAGTGAGTTTGGTACTCACTCGGTGCTCCAAAACATTCGGCCTTCTGCTACATCTGATCTACGTTTACCATTGCTATAGCCGTTTTTACCCGGGTGTGCTGGTCCATTTTGGGTAAAAGATAGAAAATTGACACTTACTAGAAATAAATGACTGCAAGGATCCTGGTAGGGGTTATCTCACAGGTACCGCCATTTTGAATTCAGTGGGATACTATGCAATACAAACTAAGCTATACGATACCCCGAAAACAGAATATAATAAAAATACGACACGCAACAGATTGTATCATACACAACTATATGTCAACCCTGGTTTGAAAGCAGCACTAAGCACTAGTTAGTTTATACAACAAAACCGAGGGACCTACATTTCACAGTGTCAAGAAAACGTATATATACGTCAATAAAAGGTAACATATATTTGGGGAAGACGTATAAGTACGCTTATAGCATAGAAAGTATAAAATCTACCTCTCTCCTCCAGCTATGGGTTAAATAGAAGGACTCGCATCAGTTAAACACATTATTATCGCCAAGAAATTCGTAAAATCTAAACATATTTTCTGACTTTAAATAACCTGCAAAAGGTTGAAAAACCGTAAAAAAAACCCAATCAAATCAAATCAACTAGAATGTACTAAGAGCTTCATTTTCGAATATGTAGAAATCTAAATTAATCGTCCCAACCTTCTGTGCGTACATTGAAATATTTTGCTCAAATTATATATCTTATTGATTCGCCGTCTCTTCACAAGGCCTCTTCGGTATATGATGAAAGACGATATTACTAAAACGGTAACCCGCTGCCCAGGACCGGATTTAGGTCTTAAAAGCCCTTGGACTAATAGAATTTGGGGACACCTTTATTATATATGGTAGCCACCCACCGTGTCTACAGTGGCCTAAGAATAGTTTTCAGCCAGGAGAAATAAACTACATTCAATTTCAAAATTTAATTATGTAATCCCGACCCAACATAAATAAACAGTATTTGGAACTAGTATAGAGTAGGTCCTCTATTTGCTAGTTTCAGTGCTTGTATTCGATTTTTCATGGATTTGATCAAGTTATCAACAATCATCTGATTCATCTTTTGCCACTCTGGCAATGTTCCTTAAGGGCTGCCACTGACGTGATTTTGGTTGCACGCTCTTGAGGTTTTCGGTGAAGGTGCTCCCAAACATGCTCTATTGGACTTTGGGCTACCCATCGCAGTGACTTGATTCCTTATGATTTCTTCTAGGCCTTTGCTGCTTTTCTCGCATGACATGGCGCTCCATTTTCTTGAAAGAGGTAGACATTCTTGTCAATCTGATTAGATTCAAATAGTAGGAGTATTCTTTTTTCTAATATTTGACAGTATTTTGGACCATTCAACCGCTCGTCAACAAGAATCAGCTCAGAGTTCCCTCCAGTCGAGACAGCACCCCACACCATTACTTCAATCCCTCCATATTTCACGGTTGTCTGCAGATATTCAGTGTTCCAAGTCACATTCTGATTTCTCAAACCTCCCTCTAATCTCGAACCTATCTCGAATTCGAATATTCGCAGAATTTACTTTCATCTGTCCAAATTACAGATAAAATTCAGAATCTTTACTCTCGAATTATCTCGCCCAGTCCATACGCCTGTTCCTGTTAACCTCTGAAATCCAGGGCTTCTTTCTTGCAACTCTTCTTTGATAGCGTAGCTCTTTCAGAGTCTTTCTCACTGCATATGGCGACATTTCCATGCTGTTGACGACATCTTTGACGCTCTGACGACGGTTTCTGATGACTTCCCTATTCAATGACCTTTTTGTTCACTCATACACGATGTTTGGTCTTCCTGAACGTTGTTCCACACGACAATAGCCTTCTTCATTAAATTTCTTGAAATATTATTAACCGTTTAATGATTAACCTGGAAAAACCTAGCAATTTCTCTATTTGACTTGCCACACTGAGGCCATCCTATTATTTGCCCTTGTTGAAATTCACCAATGTCCTTACTTCCACGAACTTTCATTGCAAGATATAAGTCAACTATCGTTCATAGATGAGAGTAACTTGATACTGACACGGTATTGTCTGAAAAAAAAAAAGAAGAAGCGTTATTACACAAGCCAAAATTGCTGTAATCAATGGTGGCTAGAAACTTATCATAGCCCAAATTAGTGTTTGAAAAATACAAGACATCAGTCACGTATTTATAGACCTCAAAAGGGTATTAAATTTCCTTACTTCCGCGAACTTTCATTGCAATATATAAGTCAAGTATTGCTCATAGATGAGAGTAGTTTGATACTAACACGGTATTGTTTGGAAAAAAAAGAAGAGAAGTTATTACACGAGCCAAAAATGCTGTAATCAATGGTGGCTAAAAACTTAACATAGCCCACTTTATATAAAAAAGATAAAGATTCAATACTTTCTATCATTCAACTATTTGTTCCGTCCAGTAAATATATCTGAAATTTTGTTTAATAACACTTTCAATGTTTCGTTGTTGGCTGTTTTTTCTGACCCACTTGCGGGAAAATAAAAATTGTTATTTATTGAAAAACTAAATGATTATAACGTCGCTTACAGCGATTTCTCATAGGTGACGCCATTTTGATTTTGATACGATCCTCTGTAGTGCAGCTTAAACTAAACAACACTCCCAATATGCAATAAAATAAGAATACGTCGAAAAACTGGTCATGTTAACACTACTATATGTGTCTATTTGGAAATAACACTAAACGTGAGTGGACTAATAATACAAATGCTAGGAACCGGTATATCAAGGTATGTTGATAACGTATATATACGTCGACAGCAGACAGTGTAAGATTCGAATAGACGTATAAGAACGTCCACAGCAGCGAAACTGTTAACTGTTGTTAACGTGTTTTCAGTAGAGCATTAATACCAGATGCAACGTTGGCCAAGTCGTGATCAAACCAGCTGACTTTCCGTCTTGCTTGATGGACCAGAAGTACAGTAAACAGGCTTCAACAGCTAAAAGTACACGGATCCCGGGTTGGTGGCACACAAGTGCCGAGAGTGGATGAATGGCGAGACAGATAGACTGTTATAGAAAATGTGACCTCGTTATCAAGACCTTTACTTGCAGTGGAAGACAGTGTGCAGTCCTGTAAGTGCGTGTAGATGCAGGAGAATGCTACCTCGAGCGTATAAGTAGTGATATTTATTAAAGCGCGTTAAGCAACTGACTTTTTATATGTGCGTATCTATCTATCTATCTATCTATCTATCTATCTAATTTTGTACTTATCTAATTATGTTCTTATCTATCTATCTATCGATCGATCTATAAATCTATTTTAGTTTGTCCAAATCTATTTACCTCTCGCAGTTTGTTCAAATCTATCTATCTATCTATCTATCTATCTATCTATCTATCTATCTATCTATCTATCTATCTATCTATGTTTGCTCTATCTATCTATCTATCTATCTATCTATCTATCTATCTATGTTATTATCTAATTATGCTATTATCTATCTACCGATCGATCAATATATATATATCTCAGTTTGTTCAAATCTATCTATCTATCTATCTATCTATCTATCTATCTATCTATCTATCTATCTATCTATCTAATTTTGTTCTTATCTAATTATGTTCTTATCTATCTATCGATCGATCTATAGATATATTTCAGTTTGTTTAAATCTATTTATCTCTCTCAGTTTGTTCAAATCTATCTATCTATCTATCTATCTATCTATCTATCTATCTATCTATCTATCTATGTTCTAATCTATCTATCTATGAAATATACCTATCTATGAAAGTTTGGCATTAAAATATTTAATGTATTTACTTTCATGAATGCTGCATATGTTTAAAGTAAACGTACTCCACTTTATATATATATATATATATATATATATATATATATATGGAGAGAGAGAGAGAGAGGGGGAGAGAGAAAGAGGAAGAGAGAGAGAGAGAGAGTGGGGTAGAGAAAGAGTGTCTAAGCTGTTGGACTTGTGTAGGACATTTGAGAACGTGTTTATGCATAGCCAAGCAAAGTTTCATGTGAGATACGCGTTGTGGACATTACAAACAGGTATTTTAAAAATAATTATCTAGGTTAAGCTATACATGTTAGCTTTTTAAATATGCATACATGGAGTATATATGTGAATAATATTTAATAATATATACATCTGTTAAGCTACCTAGAGTTTCTCATGCCTCGCTGGACATTTCACAAATGTCTCAAAATATCACGCGAAAGATTATTTTTTTATTCAGGAGTTAATTAACTGCCAATCTTTTTGCTCTTTATTGAAACCATTCCTGCCTGATGCTATCTGATCTTGCATTTGCCACCACCCTCGTGTTTTATATATATATATATATATATATATATATAAATATATATATATATATATATCATATTTTCGAAAATTATAACATACATATGTTAAAAAATTATTCAGCACCATCACTTGATAAGACACCAGAAGTGATGAAACAAAATGGCTATTTTTGTAGTGATTTTATAACATATTTTTGTTATAATTTTCAATAAATTATATGTGTTCTCCTCTGTATTGAGCACTCTTTTAAGAATAGTATTTTTTGATTATTGGAATTTATTCCGTATGCACCAATCCTATATTTGTATATATATATATATATATATATATATATATATATATATATATATATATATATATATATGTTGAAACTTGACTAATGCATGGAATAATAATGCAACACAAAATGTACTTAGAACAAAAAGTATTGAAACAAGAAAGTGTACACAATATTTACATATAGTCTTTTGTATATTCCTGGGAAGACCGTTCCTGGAGAATGTGTTGACTTAGTCGCAGTCGGGCAGAGTCTCTGGATTGAATCTCTTTGATTCCTCCTCTTCCCGGTACCAACCATATTTATATGGTCGGTACTCCACTATGCAAATTAGGTGGATCCTACAACAAATAATATATATATATATATATATATATATATATATATATATATATATATATATATATATATGTAGGCCACACAACAACATGTTTAACAAGAAGACTCACACTACATCTTTCTGACCATAGCTCAATTAGGTCTCATTTAAATATTCATGGAGACTTACTGGACCCTATTTGTAACATACTTGTTGATAATACAAATATAATAGCATTGCCTACATATAAAAAAGGCTAAAAGTAATGGAAGCCATATTAATAAAAAGAAAAAAAACACAACATTCAATAATATCAACTATGAATGTAGACACAATATCTTGACCGTGTTTTGAAAATGGAAACATTATATAAATACATACATACGACAATCTATTTCTTGTTAACAGTTAATATATTTCAACTTTGAAAATGGCTAAATGTATAGCCGAAAGCTCGCGGAAAAAAGAACAATTGGACAGTTTTTATATAATTTATCATCCGAAAAGGAAAGAAAAAAAATATAAGATCACATGAGAAATTGTATAAAAAACTAAGTCAAAGAACCTTGTCTGTCGTATTCAATGAAACTTGCATGAAAGAAAATCTCTGCCTAAATGTATATATATATATATATATATATATATATATATATATATATATATATATATATATATATATATATATATATATATAAAAGTGAACATAGAAGTCAACACTTAGAGGCGACAGTTTGTTTCATGCTATATGCAATCGTCAGGCCACATATGCTGTTATTTTCTCGGCTATTTATATATATACGGGTTAGTGGTGCATTGTGGGTATTCTATTATGGCGGTTATTTTTACCGGAAGTCGCTTTGTTTATTTATTTGGGTCAAATTATATTACTCGTTTTTATTTTTTTATTTTTATTTTTTCTTTATTTATTTATTTATTAACGTAGTAAAAAATTTGTTTATATCACGTATTTAACAGTTTTGTTTTGGTTTGAGAATTTAATTAAAGCTATTTGTTCAATTTTGGGGTTGGTTGTTTGTTCATTCTAACTATTATTTTTTGGCGGGAACAGTTTTTAATTTGGGATTGGTTTGTCTATTTATTTACTTGGATGAAAGTCAATTTATTTGTATATTTTCTCTTTTTGGTTTTCGGTTTTTAACAACATAGTATTTATTTTATTTTATTTTATTTATTTATTTTTTTTTATTAGTGTATTTGTTTGTTTTTATTTTATTTTTTCCGTTTTTCATTTTTTAGGTTACGTAGTAAAAATTTATTTTCCCTGCATTTTGAGATGACTCGGATCTTTTATTTAATAATTTATTTTGGTCGGGGAAAGTAAATAGCTAAAAGCAAAGTTTGCAAGTTTTTGATTGGTTGTTGTAGGCTGATGACTTTTTCCTTATCTTCAAATATTTTTGGTGTGATGTGCGTTTTTAAAAATTCCCAGATATGAAAAACATAGAAAAATAATATTTAATTTGTGAACGATGTTTTGTGTGTATAAGTTCTTTGCTTCCAGTGTCCTTCAGTTAAATAGTTTTTCTTCATTATCTGGTGATTTTATCGTGGCTTGGTATATTACGTTGTTTTGTAGAAAAAAACATTCGTTCTTTATTCTGCAGTTGCACGTGGGTTTAATTTGTTCATGTGGTTTAAAATAATTTTCCTATTGTGTTTTTTTTTAATATTTGTGCCATGCTTGTTGGTACAGCTGTAGCTGATAAAACTGTGTTTTGTTGAATATCTTGTGTAAGGTGCTTGATTCTGGGAAGTGTTTGTGTAAGAGTTTGAAGAATATTTTTTCCTACGTTTGTTTTTTACGTTCTTTGCTGTACGGTGGGTTGAACCATATGATATTTCTTCTCATGTTGGCCTTTTTTTGTATTCTGCGGTGAGTATGTGAGTATTGCTGGGAATCCGCTATCTTTAGGGCCGTTTCAGTAGTCTTTCTTAGCTTTGTTAAATAGGGATTCATTGGAGGAATTAATGAGAGCTTGCGGTTAATCGAATTTGGTATCTGTTTGATTATAGAAGGCGGATGGTTGGAAGATGTAAATTCATGTAAGTGGTTTATCGTTAGGTTTTCTGTATGGTTTATATAATATTTTCCAAAGGTAACATCTAGGAAAACTTGTTTAGGTTAGTTTTTATATCTATGTCGAATCCGTTATTTTAAAAATCTTTATTATTGCTTTTCTAGTTTTGTTGTGTTTTGTTTGTTACAGTTTCTTAAGATTATGACCGTCGTCCCTGTAGAGTCCTACAATTTTTATCTATTATTTTGCCCAGTTCGTGTAACAAATAGCTTTATATCTGGGAAATAAAAACAAAACGCACATCAATAAAAAATATCTTGGAAGATAACAAAACAACAACCAAAAAACTTGTAAACTTTGCTTGGAGGAAAAAATAGCTTTCATTACTTTCCCGACCAAAATAAATTATTAAATAAAAGATCCGAGCTCATCTCAAATGCAGGCATGAAAATAAATTTTTTACGCAACTACTAAAAAAATGAAAAAAAAAATAAAAAAAAACAAACAAATATAATTAAAAAAAAAAAATAAATAAATAAAATAAAATAAAATAAATACTATTCAAACTTAAAAAACAGAAAACCAAAAAGAGAAAATTTCTTAAATAAATTGACCTAAATTCATCCAAGTAAATAAATAGACAAACCAATCCCAAATTAAAAAACCCGCCAAAAAAATAATAGTTAAATGAACTACAAACAACCAACCCCAAAATTGAACAAATAGCTTTTTAATTAAATCTCAAACCAAAAAACAAAACTGTTAAATACGTGATATAAACAAATTTTTACTACGTTAATAAATAAACAAATAAATAAAAAACTAAAAAAAAAAAATAGTGTTGAGCAATATAATTTGACCCAAATAAATAAACAAAGGACTTTAAAAAATAACCGCCATAATTTGCACCACTAACCCAATATATATAAATATTGAGCAGCATATGTGGCCTGACGATAAATATGAAACAGACTGTCGCTTCTACCTTAATGTTCGTTTTTATATTTTCACACGCTCTATCTCTGATATTAGCACTTTATATAAATATATATATAATATATATATTTCTTTATATATATATATATATAGGAAACGTTTGATATTAACGTGCATATAATTCATTTGTGAATGAGTATCATAATTCTAGTTTATGCTGAATTCGGATAATATATATTCGTTTATTTGTGTGTGTGTGTGTGTGTGTGTGTGTGTGTGTGTGTGTGTGTGTGTGTGTGTGTGTGTGTGTGTGTGTGTGTGTGTGTGATTCTATTAGATATCAAGAACATTGTTTGACAAGACAGATGCCAGTGAGTTCTGTTTAACCAATGCAAAACAAACAACACAAAAATTAAAAATAACAGAATTTTCTTTTTCTTCATATTTCCTTATTTGATGAAACTCTAATAAAGCCTGTTAGATTTCTAAAACGTTTCCTATTTGTTTCTTACCAGTCCTGGGTATGACGATAAACTACGTCCAGCAGCAAGGCCTCTAATCGAGAGACTGAAGGTTTTGAGAAGCATGGATCCACCTCTTAATTACTGTCCGCCCTGACTGGAGGTGGTAGCATCATTTAGGGCCTCAGTATGGTGAACCCCCAAGCATAAAAAAAAAACACTATGGAAGTATATAATTAAGTTTTTATAGTAAAAATACCAGTAATACATTTTTATATTAAAAAATAATCAAACAACACCTGTTGATAGTAAAATGACCAACAATACATCTGTAGTTAACGACATGCACTTGCATTCAAATTATTTAGATTTCGGCATTAAATGACCCATAGAGGTGTTGATATGCCGCTAATGAAAATCAAACAAACAAC